TTAAAATATATTTTTATTTAAAAAGCTTTAAAAAGCTGATATATCTATTTAATTGTTCAAAATGTAGCCTAGGGCGTGCGTTACAGGTTATATCTGATATTGCAGCTTTATTATTTCTATCTAGAAACTGTAGTGTGGATATTATAGACTGGTAGCCTCTGTCAGCAGTTGAAAGATTGATGGCGGTGACTGGAAATCCCTCTTCCAAGTTCAGTAGATTTCTTTGAACAGTTTATGTAGGTAGGTCTAAAACAACCATGTTGTTCTACCTCTTTTGTTCTTTTATTCTATAGTCAGATAAAAAAGAAACATCCTCCCTTTATTTTCATGTGAATTTTTTACTTAAAATTTTTGTTTTTAGTTCCCTGCAAAGTGAACTAATTTAAAATCAAATAATTTACAGTATATTCTCTGATTTAATCCCTAAGAGTATTTGTCTGAAGAACCAATTTACAATATTTCCCATTTAAGATACTGAAACAAGCTTTCTTGAACAAATATGGATATCCAAAAACGATTTTAAAATGCAGTATTTTCCTCCTCACCGGTAGAGTTTTCAGTCACCTGGCGTGAAAAGAATATGTCCTTAGCTTAGAACATCTGTATACTGTGACTGACACTCTGGATTTATTTGGAACAACATTTCCCAGAATTCCCAATTAGCAATGATTATACAGGTTGTGAGTTTAGGGAACAATAGTCCTGACATATTGAATGGGTGCCAGGGGTGTCCACAGAGTATGGTGAAAAAAGTAAAGATGGCAGCTGCAACAGTGTGATCAAAGCTCTGATTGTAGTCACCATCTTGACTTTTTTTTAACCATACCTTGAGGACACCCCTGGAGGGTGCCATGCTGGAAGAACTGGCCAGGAGACCAATTATTATCAGAGAGCAAAATGATTTTTCTCATGATTTTAGAAATCCTTGCACTTATGAAATTCTTCTTCTTGAGCTCGCTAAATGTTCAATGGCAGTGTAATCCAAATTTTGAACTTTTATTCTTTTTTTTTTTTGCTTACAAAGCAAGACTCATAAAAAAATAAATAAAAGGCCACAGGGCACTTTTCTCCGGTAGCCACACAGTAAAGTTATTTGCCTGCAATTGCCTGCCACTCAGGTATGAAGATGGGCTGTCATTTCCTGCACCCCACTTCCCCTTACTGCCTTGCTCCAATTTTTTCAAGCCCTACAGCATTATTGTTTGATGTGTCTGGTGGAGGAATTAAAGTAGATGAAGATTGAGGATACCACTCCCTTAGGTAATATGTATTCTGATTCCCTCCAGCTATCTGGCTGACAATGCCTCTCTCCTCATCCCAGCCCCATTCCCTGCCTTGAGATGGAGGAATAATTAAAAGTCCCCTAAATTAGGTGTGGCAGAGTTGAATATGCAGCTGAGATCTAGAAAGGTGTACAAACTAGTTAAGTTTGGGGTGTGTGTGTGTTAATATGGAGCAAGTTAACTGCATGCACAATTCAGCAAAAAAATAAAAAATAAAAACCAAGTTAACTCCTGTTTTTAATAATTAAGAAACAACCTTTAACATATTTTTGCATTTCTTCCAATGAAACTCAAAGCTAGGACAAATAGAATAAAAGGCAAAATGTGGTAGACTTAAATTGTTAGGTGTTTTGGTTGCCTGAAATATGTCCTCTAATGGTCAAAAGGTGCTATTTCTGTTTCGACAAAAGGGAGTCTATATCCAGAGCTTTTTTTCTCTCTCTCTTAAAAAGTAGATCCCTCTTTTTTTCAATTCATTAGAATTTCTGGTATCCACAGAAGTAGCATTTGAATCCTTTGCTTGATATGGAAAATGATTTAAATAGTGGGATCTCTGTGTTAATTGCTGTTAATTTTGTTTGTCAGGTTTTCAAGGGGATAAAATAATGGTGCATTGTAACTCTGTTTTTCTAACCAGGTATGGCTGCAGAAGGCGGCTTTAGGAGATGGTAAATTTGAAAGACCTTTTAAAAATTATTCATTGTCTAGGACCTTCAAGAAAAGGGAAAAAACATTTCAGGGCAGTTATCTGCTTGATTTTATAATGATTTTTTAAAAAAAATACAGTTAAATTCCTGAAGTGCTCATAAGTTCCAAAGTCTGCAGAATATAATGTACGCTCTCTCTTGCAAATAAGCAGATACTGGTTTTGCCCAGGGTCAAAAGTCCTGCGTACATTTGTGTTCACAAAAGCATTTTTCACATTTAGTTTGAATTGACTTAACTTTTCTGGGCAGAGTTATCACTAAAGAAGCATTAGGAAAGCAGTTATCTTCCTACCTAATTTAACCTAACACCATGGATCACAACCACAATCTGATTGTTGTTAGATGATTAACTGGTTGACTGATAATAGATTTCCTACATCTAATTGCAGTGTTACTGCCCAATCAGACCTGAAGACATATATCTTTTTGAATTCTTTATAGCTCATTGTACAACACTTTATATCCTTAATATTTATAGCTCACTTGTCTGGTTCTTCTGTAACCTTAGTTTTCATAATTCTAATTAATTTAGTGATGTTCACAAGTAGATCTACTTCATTGCTCACTCCGAGTGGTAAACTGTAGCATCTTCTGTAATTTCATAGCTGACAGACTTATGTTCTTATTAGTATTAAAAAGTTTAAAAGTCCCTTTTAGCTATCTGGAAAAACTACCAGTTTTAGTTACAAGTTGCATATTTTTGCCTTACATACCTTGTCACATTTGAGCTTCACATATTTTAAAGGATGAAATCATGGCAGCAGCTATATTCTGAAGAATACGCTATGCAAAAATAATTGCTGACTATAGAAGGAATTGGAAAGAAGAGATCTCAATCACAAAACATCTTGTTTGTTACAGGCTGTCATGCACCTTAAAGTTTGGCAGAGGGATTTCTTAATGACAAGCGATCTCTGAGAAGAGCAGGACAATTGATTCAAGAATTCACGCAGGGATGTGAAGAAGGAAGTATAGTATGCAGACAAGGTTTAATAAATCATCTCCACGCTCTTTATAAATCATCCCAAGTACTCAAAAAGAGCACACGCAGCATTAAATAGGATGTTGCCACAAGTCCATCAGGATACAGGTTGTGTGTTTGTAGCTTATCTGTGCCTACATTTAATACGTTCCACTACTAATAAATTAGAAAGTTGTAATAAACAAGCACAAACCTGCCTGCCTTATTAAAAAAGAAAGAAAGAAAGAAAGAAAGTGATGCTCTGACGGATTTGATTGAAGTATCTCCATCTCAGAGGTGCTCATTACCCTGAGATGACACAACCAAGTTTTTTTTCCCTTACAGAGAAACCAGAGAATCAAATCAAGCACAGCTGTTTTTATAGCAAAGCAAACTTTATTTTAGATTCTTAGAATTGTATTCCACAAAGTTGGTTCAATTTAGATAAGAAGATGCTGCTCACACTTCCTTTTGCTAGTCTGGATGTCTTATGTTCTAACTTTTTATACTTGAGTTAAACCGGGCAGAGTTCTGGGTTCGGTATAAAACACAAAACAAGCTCTGCAACCCTATTCCATGTTAGGCTAGTTTGCCAGAGTGAGACTATTTTTCAGAGAATCTTTGATGTCAAAAATAAACAGAAAAGGCAAATGCTATGGGCAAATGTGGCTGAACAATGCCTGCAGCATGGGTGGCATCTTTTTTGTCTTGGCTAACCCCGGCAAATTTCTGCACCTGTTCTGCCTGAAAGCTAAAACAGAACAACTGGACAGATCATCGTGTCCTCTTCCTTGTACGGCAGAGTCAAGGCATGTAATGAACTGATTGCGTGCCATTTCTCTGCCTCTGTCTCACTTTCATGAGACAAAGTAATAAAAGAAGAACTCCCCGCATCCATACAAGAGTATTTTAAAGAGTGCAAGAATTTTGGGCTCAACAATAAACAGAGATTGCCTTTTCTTCATCACATCCTCTTAATCCACCAGCGCCCAAGCAGAGACAAATGTGGATTTATAAAGAAATCAGTACATTTTCTTTCTTTCTTTCTTTCTTTCTTTCTTTCTTTCTTTCTTTCTTTCTTTCTTTCTTTCTTTCTTTCTTTCTTTCTTCTTTCTTTCTTTCCTTTCGTTCTTTCTTTCTTTCCTTTCTTTCTCTCTCTCTTTCTTTCCCTCCCTCCCTCCTTCCTTTTTTCCTTCCTTCCTTCCTTTTTTTCTTTTTATTTCTTTTTTTCTTTCTTTCTTTTTATGGATCACTCAAATTCATCACAACTCTGAGCACCCTGCATTTATTCCAGTTTTTTTTTAAATTTCAAAACCAGTCTGTATCTGAGGATGAAACCATTGCTCTGATGAAATCAACAGCTTTTTTTTTTTAGTTGCAGGAAAAAATGTACAATTTATCAGGAGATGATATTACAACTTTGATATGAGAATACCTACATCTGACCATCTGACTCCATTTTTGCTACTGTCCCACAAATTTTCAAGGGTCCTTCCAGTCTTAAGAACTTAGCTGGATCACAGTCATGAATTGACTTGCCAGATCACCCTACTGGATGCTGCCTTGTTTTGTTTCTCTATTTATATAATGAAACTGGGATTCCTGTAACCTTTAACTGGGCAAAATGATGCACTCTAGAGCAAAACCTTTTGAACCAAGGTACCTTAAATGAGCTAATTTACAGAATGTATCCAAAATCCAAGACCTATGACTCCATGGAATTGAAATCTGTACATTTTATAAAACATTTTATGACATAAATAGCAACAGCACTTAGACTTATATACCACTTCACAGTGCTTTACAGCCCTAAGCAGTTTACAGAGTCAGAATATTGCCCCCAACAATCTGAATTCTTATTTTGCTGAATGCTGAGTCATTGAGACCTTGAGCTGGTGAGAATTGAACTGCTGGCAGTTGGCAGAATTAGACTGCAATATTGTATTCTAACCACTGTTCATGGTAAACATCACAAAGCAGCTTATGACATAATACAAAAGTGTCATAAAATATTTTCTGTGCCAATGTTTGACTGTGCTGTATAGTTCAACATGGATTATTTTCAAGGCAGATACAACTCTGAATATATACTGACTTTTTCAGTGAAGGAAGTATATCTGTATTAGAAGTCTGCCATTGTAGGAGGTCTTGAGGAATCTGGTAAGGTAATACCTCTAAAGCAATGACTCAGTGGGGCATGGGTTGCCTAGTTGCCTAATAAGACTATTTAGTTAAAATTGGAATGTCATATCCCAGGATTAGAAAAAGAATAAATTATGCTATAGGAAGAACTCTAAATTAATCTTAAATCTTTTGTTTTAGAACTTGCCTTTTTTTCAAAACAGAAAGCAAAAAACAGTATTATTAATCTCAATCTGACATAACATATAATCAGCTTTTCCTGCTAATAATCTGTTAACTCACAGTGTCATCTTGGTCTTATTCACAGATGGCATCTGGATTTTAGAATGTTCTCTCCCAAAAACCAATAAAGAGTTTATGGTTGCTGTTGTCATTGTTATACTTTAGCTATCCTCTGAAGGCTTCACTACCCAGCCAGGCTGGTTTTTGTTTAAATTAGAGTTCCATGTTACCCAAAAGCAAGATAAAATTATTATTTAGGTGCTCTTTCCAGGAAAAATGCATGTACAATTATTTTCAGACAGCCAGTGAGATGTAGGTGTTAAGCAGGGTTGGGTTCTACTTACCTTTACTACCAGTTAGTAACGGGGCCGCATGCGTGCACTCTTCTGCACATGTGCAGAAGTGTTTTGATGACGTCAGGGTCAGTGGGCAGAGCCTCCCGCCGGTTTTACTACCGGTTCTATAGAACCGGTGCAAACTGGGGGCAACCCACCATTCTCTGGTGGGTTGCCCCCAGAGATGGTGGGCCTTCTCTGTGGGGGCACCTACCCTCTGGAATCAGTTGCCCCCTGAGATAAGGAGAATCCATGACCTCAGTGCCTTCCGCCGTGCCCTTAAAACTTTCTTTTTTTAACAAGCCGGGCTGGCTTAATTTCTTTTTAAGGGTTTTATTAATTGTTCTGTTTTGCTTATCGTTTTTAATTAATGGGGCCAAATCTATATATATTTTTAAATGTGTTTTAATATTTGTATTTGATGTTTTTATCTGGCTGTTCACCGCCCTGAGTACTCAGGGAGAAGGGCGGTATACAAATTCAAAAATAAAATAAAATAAAATAAAATAAAATAAAATAAAATAAAATAAAATAAAATAAAATAATAAAATAAAATAAAATAAAATAAAATAAAATAAAATAAAATAAAATAAAATAAAATAAAATAAAATAAAATAAAATAAAATAAAATAAAATGGTGTTAAGTCAGGATTTCCCAACTTTTGTCTCGTGGACTTCAACTCCCAGGATTCTCCAGCCATTCTGGCTATGGAATTCTGGGAATTGAAATCCACAGGTCTTAAAGTTGTCAAGGTTGGGAAAACCTGGATTAAGGTCTTGGACTAACACTGGAAAGTTACTGGTTCACGTTCACTCTCATCCATGGAGGCTCATTGAGTGACTATGACTCAGTCCTTATTTATGAATTCAGTCCTACCTACCTCACAGGATGGTTGTTGGAAAAAGAGGAAGCACTATGCTTCAAGTTCCAAAAGAAAAGTAGGATATGACGACCACCAGTGGAGGTTTTCATCCACTCGTTGGACTTTAAAAAAATATTTTTCATAGGTGAGTGAATTGTGGAGCAAATGCTTGATTCTTCTTTGCAGTTGTTTTGTTTATCCCTACATTGAGTAATTTATCAGAAAGTGAAAACAGAGCTGATACATAAAATAGAAGAATATTGAAGAAAAGCTGAAAGTAAAAGCTGAAATATAGCCAGGGCCATAAAGGAATGCACATTACTATCTGATAGATATTGCATTTGGATCAAATCATAATATCTAATAATACTGTTTTACAATCTGTTGATACTTTTGTTTTTTACACTGGTGACATATTTTTAGTTATTTATTTAGCTACAGATTAATCAGCTCCCCTTGTGTCCAACTGATTTCAATTAGAAAAAAGAACTGCTAATTTGAGTCTGAACCCAATCTTGTATTCTTTGATTTGGGTTTATTTAATAGTATTAGAATTAATAGCTTCAGCTTGCCAAGTAGTAACATATTGTATATTTAATGTATAGTATATTTCCCTTACTCAGATACACATTTTTATTTTATTTATGTTTATTTATTTAAATATGAGCCCTTGAAAAATAATTGTATATTTAAATTTGCAACTAGTTGTCAACTTTTAAACTAAGCTGGGTTCTGATCAATTCCCAATTACATACAACTGTTGTTCATATCCTGCACCACTGAGCCAAAAACATAAAATACACTTAATATAACAGATTCAAATATCTACTAGGGAAGTTCTACCAATTCAAAAATGCTAAATCAGTTTAGAATTATGTGCATGAAATATTTTCAGTTTTAAATAAAACATGAAATCATGTATGAGGGTTGCATGTACTGTATATCAGGACAGACAGTGTATATTACCTTTGATATGTGATCCATAATTAGAAAAAAAATGTTGAAAGAGGCATGATACCTGTCAATTATCAGCTAGCAGAAAATTCAACTAAAATACATAATTCATCAACATGCTGTCCTTTGTTGTTAAGCTGATTGATTCTACTCTGTAATATAACATACTTTATTCAAAAGAAAGTGAATCTGGGTACAATCTGATACATTGTACTGATTTTAAAATATGCACGAGGTGTAAAATTTTAGCTACCGTATTAAAACACAGTGAAGTCCATACATCTGTTGCATAAAGCAAGAAATAACACTTCTAGTGTTAGATAGTCATTATAGACACCAGATAAATGTATTGCAGGTTAGTCAACTGTAAAATTTTAATGGGTATATGACATCTATTTACTTTCTTTTCAACTAGCGAACTAGTTTTTGCAATTTTTATCTTTATGCTATATAAACTACATTATACTGACTAATTAGTAAGACAGCCAACACGATTAATCTCAAACAGAAAAATAATTGAAGTTAAATATTAATTTAGAAAAAAATAATTCAATGTAATTGAAAAAGAAAACCAGGAAGCTTTTAAGTAAAAACTACACAAATAGTACACCAGCAGTGAAAGGCTAAAGCTACCACTCTGTTTTTCCTTCCTGTCTTTGTTATTGGCTCTTTCCTTACTCTTCCTTTTGTTTGACAAGGTTTCTTCCCTGCAGCTGGGAATGTCATCTCACAAATGAGCAAACCTTTCAGATCCTGGGACTCTTCATCATGGCTGACTATCCAATAGTCCTTGAGCCAGAAGAAATCTATGCTGGCATAAAAATACTACAGTGTCTAGCAAATCCCTATTACTTGCAGGCACAATGCTGGCAAATGGAACTGTCCTTCTTTATTGTACGCAGACAGGGATAGAGGTAGGTTTCAGCAGGTTCTGACCAGTTCTGGAGAACCGGTAGCGGAAATTTTGAGCCCCTCCCCCATCTATTCTCTGCCTCCTAGTAGCAGCCGATCGGGAGGAAATGGAGATTTTGCAAAACCTTCCCCTGGATTGAGGAGGGAATGAAGATTTTACAGTATCCTTCCCCTGCCATACCCACCAAGCCACACCCACAGAACCGGTAGTAAAAAAATTTGAAAATTTGAAATTGGATAGAAGATCGATTGTTCCGTACAGGTTTCCTTATCTTCCTGCTCAACATCACCAGTGACGGAAAACCATCCATCAGTCACTGTCCTTAATATGCAATGCATAGAATGGGGCTATCAGTAGTTTCCTTTTGCATCCTGGTTTACTGCTATTCCAGAAGAGAAAGCTAAACCCAGGTTCAAAATCATCCTGAGAGCTAGCAGATGAGGAGATAGCTTTGCAGTGAAGTGCAGGGAGAGAGAAAGGACTTTCTGCCTCACATTACCATGTACTCCTTCCACTATTACTATTGGTCAGTGTTTCCACTCAGGGGATTGATTCAGAGATTGGATGGCCAGAAAGGCAGAGGCCAGTCTGAAAGATCTAGATGCTACCTGCCATCTGAAGCAGGATGCTCTGGAAGCCGGTGATAGGAACTGGAGGGAAGGAGCATGTGTCCAGCCAAGAATTGCCCATTGATGCTGGGCTAGTTTGACTATCTAGGGGCCACCTGATTATATCACATGGTTGGTAAAACTTGTGAAGTTGCTATGTGCAGAGGAATTTAAGGTTGACTTAGGAATTTGCTAAGGATAAGAAGAAGGTATTCATGAGGACCCAGCAAAATAAAAAGTGAAAGTTGCTGAGATATGTTTCCGTTGTAGTTAGATGCAAATGAGAAATGATTGTTAATTTGCTAGTCATCCAACTTCTCGGTGATTCATTTTGCTCCGTAATGCCTAACTGGTCAGGTTTCTTTGTCAGCAGTCTTCTTTTGATTGGTCAAGAGTAAGGAGCTTTCCCTTGCTGATCTATACTCATTCATGTTACAAAGTGGATTTTCTCTATAATGGATGGTATACCCTTTTGCATTCTCAGAAACTGATTCATTTGAACATCACTACCTAACCACAAAGGAGCATGGATCATGAATTAAGTGCAAGATAAGCAGGAAGTCTCCTCTGTGTAAAAACAGCTGTGTAGAAGGAAGTGCACTGGATTTGGTTTCCTGAATTTTAGCCGTGCTGCCAAATAGAATAGAATAGAATGGAATGGAATGGAATGGAATAGAATAGAATTTTATTTGCCGAGTGTGATTGGACACATAAGGAATTTGTCTTGGTGCATATGCTCTCATTGTACATAAAAGAAAAGATATGTTCGTCAAGAATCATAAGGTACAACACTTAATGATAGTCATAGGGTACAAATCATATTAGGAAACACTCATCATGGTAGGGGGATGATCCTGGAAGTAATAAGTCGAGAATGCAGTGGATTTATTCACATCCAATAAGTTGAATGCATATTGAACAAAACTGGACTGGAAGAAGATGAGCATAATTGGAGGGAGAAAGATATAGCTGAAAATGATCTGCAAGCTCTAGGAATGGAAGTAAAGTGAAAACTTGGCACTAACGTAAAATATAAAGAACAAACTCATGGTACAGCCACCAACCTTCAATTCAATCTTAGAATTGAAATGAAAATACTGAAGTGATAGACAGGTTCTGCCTTTTAGAATTAGCTATCAATAATAAAGGAAACAATAGTCAAGAAATATGTCACTTGGTAGAGCAGTTGTGAAGACCTTGGAAAAGAGATTCAAATGCTGGGAATTTCTGTTTGCACAAGGTAAAGCAGTCAAAATAATATGAATCAAACTGAATCACAACGATATGTGAACGATACAATATGTAATCATGTTGCATAAAGACACTCATTCTCATCTCTCTCTAAACATCCCACAAATATGCTTTGTACACCACTTTTAAGTTGCTTATGTTATTGCTTTTCTCCAACATATATATATGGGTTTAGTGCTCTTTTGAAAAAGTGCTAGACCATTTTTTTTAGAGAACAATATAATCAGCATCTAGATTCAGTTTCTTTGTCAGGATTTTAATAGAATATTTTTTTAAAGTCTGCATTATTTATTAATTACAGTAATATCTGATTTACTTTGCTTTCAGTTCACCTGCCAAGCTAAGAGGCAATCTGGCTCACCAATGCATGCTTGTATCATAGATTAATCCCCTTAGAAATTAACTGAAATGACTTATTAGAAATGAAAGCAAACATTTTGCCTGTAACACAGTCTGAATGGTCTCCACCCTTTTTAGTCAGTAATTGAGTTGAATGTGGGGTATGATAGCAAAATTAAAGAAAACTGGAACAGCAAGTTTTAGGCATCTTGCAAGCTGTGATAAAGACTTTAAAAATGCCCGTAAGAAAAATAAGCAAAAACTAGAGAGAAAAAAACCCCCTCAGTGTTTACAATATGTATAAAGTTGTTTTAGTAATATATTGACATAGCTACAAAAATAATTAGTGTATCTCATCTTGATAAGAAGGTAACATTGTGACCAGAAATGATGTCTGTATCATAACTTCAGATAAATGACAGCCTGGAGTTATAATGAAATAGTACAAATGACACACTGGTTAGTCTCGTTTTAAATAAATGTGCTATAAAATTACTATATGTGCATTGCTTGGAGTTAACAACACACTATAGGTTGATTATATGATATCACTACAATGTTATATTTTTCAATAATATTAGAGGCATTTGGTAAAATGCCCTCTAGTGGCCTCAGCAATGTCCCCCACTAGTCTCTCATTTCCCTTGATTTTTTTCTCTCTTCCTTGACGCTTCATTTTGTCATTGAACTATGGAGCTATGGACTTGTATACAGAAATTTTGCCCCAGAGGAATCACTACTAATTGCCTTCACAGTATTACATTTATGCAGTTCAGAAAATTGTTTATAAAATCAAATTTGCTCAGAAAACAGAATTGAGGAGCAATAATCTCAAGTACTGGAGAACAACGAGACCAAAAAAGAAAGTGGGTAATTATACTCTTCCCTCCAGACTTTTTGGATAGAAAGAAAGACATAAAAGCAAAATGAAGAGAGTGAGCTTCAGTCTATCCTTGTCTACAATACATTGGAGATAAATATAATACTGTTGTAGGAATTCATGAAGTCAAGTAGTCTTAAACCATGGTTTGAATTTCATTTGTTCCAACCAAAATGATTTATTCTCAGTTTGTTACATTGAATGAAGAACAAACTGCAGTAAATCCAAGAAGAATGCTTCAAATTTACTTAAAATATAATTTCACTTTCTACAATGGAGAAGAGAGAAAAATGTAAAAGTTCTGAGATAAACTTGATTTTATACATATACTTCTAATGAATCCCAAATGCAGTTTCCAGAGTTGTGATATTAACCATGCATTCTTTTTTTTTTTTTTTAAGTAGAGTGAAACATAAAAAATATTTTATGGAAGAGAAAATCTTGGTTATCACTTCCCTAATATTGAACAAGTTACTATTCCAAAAATCAATAACATAAACAAGAAATCAAATGTAAGGTATTAGAATTTTCCCAACTATGATTCAAGAGGGCATTAAAGAATAATGAGGCAAAGCTTGAATAGCTTTATGCTTCGTGCTATAATGAAACACAAATGGAGGACAAAATGACTAGAAAAAGTGTATTATATATTTTATGAGATAAAAAAAGAACCAACAGATTCAAATGAGGTATATTTACATCATTTCAAAAATAAAGGGAAGCTACAGAAGAAGTGTTGTAAAGAAACTACAATAAGTTGCTAGCTTATCACAAATACTTGGAAGATGAGTTTCACTCCAGAGTATTATCCTGACTGACTTATCCCTAAGTACCATGTTGCCAAGAAACAGCTAAATAAAGAAGTGTTGAGTTCAAGGAAATGGAGGGACTGAATAGCTGCCAAAAGTATTTTGAAGCCTCAGAGTTTGGTTGCAAACACGGTATTTGGACTGTAGTTTCCAAGTTCTGCTCATTTGCTCCAAGAACAACTCCTTCGTTTATGTCACACTGCAGGACAGGCAGGAGGGAAAACTATAAAATACACAACAACCAGGTAGAAGCATCAGGGTTCTCTTGTTTCTAGCTGCCACAAGACTCATGTCTGTCCAGTTTCTCTCAGAGCAACAGTGTAGAGAAAACATAGTCCTAGGGTGGTAATAGGTATACAAAATACAAATTATAGGTGAGTAAGAGGCATTCTCAGCTGGCTGCATTCATTCCCATCACAATCTAAACAAGTAATTATCTCTTGGATACACATGTTGTTAAGATCATACATACTGTACCTTTGTTTCCCAACCATTTTTTTTTTTTTGCCTAAGCCAAATGTGATATCAGTATAAGTATATTGAATAATTAGTATGGGAATGCATTAAAAGTGATGCATCGTGGCTGTGTTGGAAGAAATGCCCATCTGGGTTCAGTTCCAAGTGGGAAGAAAGATACTGGAAACATGGAGACTGCTTGGAAAGATGGTTTAGTGGTGGACAGGACCACATGATTTGAGGTCCTGGGCAAAAAAAAAAAAAAAAAAAAAGAGCACATGGGTCTCTCTCACCTTCTCTCTCTCACCAACCCTCTCTTAAAAGGGTTGCCAGGGCAGCTGAAGCTAAAAACGATAACTTTTCAGTAATAGAACTGAACACCCTCACAATGAGATGGCATAGAGCCATACCTGAATGCAGTATCTTGCAAATTTTGATAGGAATGGCAATGCCTGCAGTGTAGCTTGTATCAACCAGCTGAGAAACAGCAGTGCTGCATCTGAACTTAGCAAAATGTAGGAGTATGTCAATCATGCAGGGAATAAGGCATGTAGTCAATCTGTCTTGTCTAGAGTTTGATTATTTGGGGAGTCAACTATTGGGTAAGCAAGTCAATTCTAGAAGCTATTGCATCATATTTTTCCTCAAGGTGTTCTTGAGTGTGGCAGATAGAAAAAAAAATCTGTGACTCTGCTACTGACTCAAGTATTTCATAGGTTCTCTTGGGAAAAAAAAGCTGCTCTCCCTTGCATTGGTGCACCTAAACATCTGCTATTGTTCGAAGTGTGATTTCAATGGCATTGACACTTCAACATGTCATAATCTACTGACCACAAGGGGGCAGCGGGTGTAAATAGTTAAGAATTTACTATGTCCTCTGTCACTCTGCTTGCTCTTTGTCTAAGATATTGTTAATTTCATGTCACTTCCTTCTGCCTTTGTTCTCAGGCATGCATGCATGAAGTATATGCATTGTGGTTCTTCTCCTGGGAGGCTTTGCCTCTCTCAAGAAGGTATTTCCTTAAATAAATCCACCACTGTAGTTAGAAAATCTGCTTCACTAATTGGTGCTCAGATTCCACAGTTTCAGGAGTTCTCATATGCAATTGCAATAACTGCATCATAAATTGACCATTAACCTTTTTGCAATGGAATAAAAGGTTTATTGAATATAAACTGATCTTGGTTGATTGGAGGGATGTCGTACAATATCACAATATAATTTGGATGGAAGTTACCTGTGTCGCCTCGGATGATACATAAATTCTAGCAATTACTGCAGATTATCTGTTACATTCACATATACACAATTTATATATAATGTCCACCTTTTCCAAGGAGACTGATTTAGAGAAAAAGTTGAAGGATGAATCTTCAGGTCCAATTTAGCTTAATGACTCTGCGTCTAAAATCCAGAGCTCCAGGACAAAACATTCATACTTGAATTCACTCTTGTGTAACAGTGTAGTAAAGCACTGTGGCTAAAAATGCTATTTTACTTGTTAACAAGGCAGTTCAGCTTTCCTAGAGGCAAAACGAACTTCCTAGATTTTCTAAGTGGGTAGTCTGTTGCAGAAGACATAGTCATTTTATTATTAATATAAGTACTCTTAGGTTTTTACTTTGATTGTATTAATCTGTGATGTAATGCTTCTAATCAATGACCTGGAAGAAGGCGTTTAATACTATTGCTTGCCATTAAACAATACAACAGAACTTGAGCCCCACACTATCCATCAGTAACAAGAACTTTAAGGACTCCTTAGAGTTTCATGTAAACCTTTTGATCCAAACTGGAACTGCATTCAGTTTTTCATTAAACCAGGCGTTATATAGCAGACTCTGCCTTTCTGGTGAATAGGCAGAAAACAAGCATTTAAGTATGTTCTTATCACATTGGTATAATTCACAAATTAAGCAAAGAAAATATGAAAGTATTTTACTTTCAGTTTATGCTTGCCTTCTTTTAAAGAAAACACTTTGTCATTATTCCCTTAATTTCCAATGTTTAGGCTACCATTGCCCTTACCATTGTGGCCAATTATCTACTGAATGCACAAGGAAGGCATAAAGGCAACTGGAGGTTTTGCAGAAGTACAAAGGAAATTTAAAGAAGAAAAACTAGTGGAGAAAATGGTAAAAACCAGCACAACAATAAACATGGAACAATTATTGGAAAAGACCAATGAGGAATTTAGATGAGAAAAAGAAAGGAGGCGGCAATGAATATAACAAACTATTATTTTTGCTTATTTAGCACGATATTTACCTATTCTCAAGTTAAATTTCTGCACAGATTATTAAATTCCCAAAAATGTCTAGGTAAAAATGCAAATAATTTATAGGGGACAAAATGTTCCAGCTTATTCATGATCTTCCTTTTAAATGGATTATGACAGAGAAAGGTAAGACAAAATGAGCAGGTGGTTTACCAGTGCTTTTCTGTGTGCTGCTTTGCTTCCCCTAAACTTTTTCTGGTTTCTCACAAATTATTTAATTTTTAAGAAATGTTATCAGAAAAGAAAGTAGGAAAGAATGACAAGGTAAAAAACTAATTAGTACGACATATATTAAATATTTGAAATATAATTATTTTTAATATCCCCTTTACTACAAGGATCATAGAAATAGTTTTTCATTAAAACTGGTTATATAATCACAAATGAGTTGTGAATTGCCAATCACAGCCAAAATCTATTGCCAAGTATAAATAATAGGATGGGGTCTATTGAAGGAAAGTTTTTTAATGCAGTTATAGAAAGCCAAAAAGGATAACAAACTGGAACAAATGTGATGTGATCTACAGACTGCTATATGTTATATAATTAAATTATGTTAAAATTAAGAATAAAAATTGCTAGGAACAGATGACGATACTGAGTATCAGGCCTATGAATCAACAAAGTCCCAAATTTACAGAAGTATATTCAAAGCCAAGAAACAATCCTTTGTGATGTTATACAGCTGGGGGTTTTTTAAGCACAGCTGGAACCTCAGATTTCCAAATCAAGTTCTCAATATAGGGGTTTAGAAGTAAATCATACAAGGTTTGGGCCAGAGATAAATAGAGCAGAAGGCACCAAATATTTTACATTTTGATGTTAGATTGCAAATGCAAGCATATCTAATTGAAGGCAAAGAACACTTTTGGTAGTGGATGCATTAGCATTTCAATATAGTCAATATACCTTATGTAAGGAAAAAAGTGGAATCATGTTGAAAAATGCATATCTTTTTTGAGTGTTTGTTTTGTTTTAATGTTTTTGTAAATTGTTTTGTTTTAGAATTTTAAGCCACCCAGTCATTTGGTTGAATAGGGGGCTATAGAAATTGAATAAATAATAAACAGCCAAATCACGAGTTGAAAAACATAATATATTAAATTTAAACTTAAGATAGGAAATTTACTTGTGGATATAAGGACAAGCAATTTTTCTTGCTGGGTTACGAGTTTATTTGCAGCAATGTCTTGTAATCGCATATAGACCCTACAAACATGGGAGCCTATCTTATGAGTTTGTCCACTTTCTGCTAAATGCATGGCTCATAATCAGCTATACTATCATGGTATCCATTTTCCATAGCAGTCTAGCATAACAATTATTTTGTAAGTTTACCTGCCATGTTCTGCTGGTAATTGCAGCAGGATAAAACTTCAAAAATGCCACTGGCCAAAAGATGTTATCCTCGCCTGTGCTAAAACAATTACCTTCTATACATCCACTTATTTTAGCATACAAAATCTGTTTCCAAAATATTTTTTTCCTAAATATTTTTGCGATATAGGAAGAATATCTCATTTTGGCAGTGGTTTGCTCTCCAAGCTTGTTTCAATTTAGTTTCTGAACATTTCATTACCAGACTAGGTATCATCATCAGGATTTTCTTGTCCTATTCTCCTTAGCTTATAAATGTCTTGTGTGCCAGTGTGGTCAGTTGGTTGTTTGATTGGAGCTATATTTAAATTCTGAGCAGCTGATTGGTTGTGTTGATTGGTTTTTCAAATTGCCTGGTTTCTTACATATTCATATGCTGGAGGCGAGATCAATATGCTTGTTAATTGCTCCTTTAGTAGAATACTAGGCTTCAATAAATTCACGTGTGGCAGTTATTAGCATGGCCAATGATTTTTGTTCCTTTCCAATTGAACAATACCTCATTGCCTAGTCAAAAAGAACTAATGAATAATAAAAATATATTTTATTACCTTTGCTTTCAGGATGTGCTCTTTTCATATGTGCTGTGTGTCAAGAATTTTTAAGATCCATTGGGTCTGTGGCTTGAATAGAACTGCCATACATGTGTAGTGCATCCTTTGTTAACAATAAAGGAAATCAATTTGTGTGCTTTCCTGTGTGCAAGTGTGTGAACATAAATGCATTCTACTATCTTTATTACTTTATTTTAGATTTCCCTTTCTGTTCATTCTGTTACAGATCAAGTCAGACTCATTTTCTTCAAATTAACAGGAAATTACAAAGGACAAATTCCAGACAAAGATTATAATTTAAATGAATGTCCATTTCAAAGCCAAGATGATAAAATGATGGAATCCAGAGATCCATCACTTTGCTATTCTTTACTTTTACATGTCAAATGCTGTTAATTTAGTTTGCAAGTTATTTTCCAGAGTTTGTACACACACACACACACACACACACACACACACACACACACAGAGAGAGAGAGAGAGAGAGAGAGAGAGAGAGAGAGAGAGAGAGAGACGCTGTTCTAAAAACATGACACAAGACAAGTGATACATATTTCATCATTTTTTGAACTGAAGGATAAAATAGAATGCATTTCTTTATGTCAGATATCTTCACATAATGGTTTATAAAAATCTTTCTAAACTTAACATAAAAACATTCATGCATATGTTCATTTACTAAGGAAGTTTCTTAATGAATTTTAGTATTTCATCTTGCTTATGTATTATATTCAGAGCATTGTTCTGGTGGTAGCATTTTTACTGTCCTTCTTATAAAACTTTTTCTCAAATAAGAAAAAGCCCAAAGATTAAAACCAACAAACCATCTGCTTCATCTTCATAATTGCTTCATGCATTATTTTGTTATATAGTTATGTTGTATAGTAATTGTGTTAAATTCTAAGCATCTTTTTTTGATAATAATTAATATTTCTCATATCATGTCAGTATATTAGAAACAAAATTTGATTTGCAAGATGGAAATCTGGAGATGGTGCTGTATAAAATTTCCTGGTTTACCCTACCACTGATATTAATATAATCTACCAAGATACCTGCAATAATTAATTTAAATTGCAGATTTGAGTGCCTTATAAGTTCTGACCTTATAAGGGACTGATCATTCCACTGAACTCCAATCTTCTTTGGAATAGCCCAGTACATATTTCAACACCAATTTGTATAATTGGCAATTTGGGATATTAGAGCTACAAATAAGTTGTTTTAATGATTTTTGTAATTTCTATATCAAATGGACTTTTAATACTACAAAACCTTTTAAAGTAGAGCTCGGAAATGACCATTCCTTATCCAATATAGTATTATATCTCATATCACTGTAATTTGTATAATTTGAGGGGTTCCATGAAATATATTTTCCAATCACATAAAACAAAGGTAGGCATAATGAGAAAAAAATAGTATAAGAATCTTGAAGCTACTTTGTCAGTTGACTAATGAAATGAAAAGGTAGTGAAAATCAGATTATACGAGAAGAATTAGGATATTTTTCTCACCCTGGACCGTGTAGAGTTAAGTTAGGTTAAGTAAATGTAATATATAATTAGGATGAAGAATTATGTTTCATTTTTTTAAAAAAATACATAAGGGAACTGGAATTTTAGCCATCCAACAGTCTGAAAATTCAGGAGCTGCTTTCTCCCAAATAAGACATATAACGTAAATGTATGCCAGCTGCTCATTTCTAAAATAACCCCCATGAAAACATTATGAACCACGGTGGCGCAGTGATTAGAGTGCAGTACTACAGGCTATTTCTGCTGACTGTTGGTTGCCTGCAATTTGGCAGTTCAAATCTCACCAGGCTCAAGATTGACTCAGCCTTCCATTCTTCGGAGGTAGGTAAAATGAGGACCCAGATTGTTGGGGGAAATATGCTGACCCTGTAAACCACTTAGAGAGGGCTGAAAAGCACTATGAAACAGTATATAAGTCTAAGTGTTATCGTGTTTCCCCCAAAATAAGAACAGGTCTTATATTAATTTTTGCTTCAAAAGACGCATTATGGCTTATTTTCCAGTTAAGTCTTATTTGGGGGGAAACAGGGTATTGCTATTATAGTGTTGTTTCCCCCTCCCCCCAAAGTTCTTGCTTTAACGAATTGTGCAATTTATTAGGAACCTCTTTCATTTCATTTTTATTCATAATTACTGATCTCATCTGATGTTCTTATGAAGCCCCTAGTTTCTTCTTTCAGTAGAGACTAAAAGTATTGAATTGTATTGCCTAAAATAAAATCAGCAATCTAATATATTGTAAAGTGTGTTAATTTTAAATTGGATTCCAAGTAAATAAATTAGCACATTCATGTGGGTTTCTTGACAAAATATAACAAGCTGTTTGCTGTTATTTTCTTTTAGGATGTTTTTCGACTCACTCTGGTCTACAGCCTTGGAATTTCAATCTTTTAAAAACTTCCCAGTTAAATCAAACTGGGTAGTATTTAATAAGAATGATTTTATGCAGAAAAATAACAAAACAAAATGTTCAAATTGACCCAAAACTTATGACAATTTCCCCAAACACCAGAACATCCCAACATTGAGAAGAAAAAAACCCCAAACTTTGCATTGCTCCATATTTGAAGCTTTATCTCCTACCCCCCTAACTACAGTTAAGTGGGTAGCACCTGATGTCCTTGTGGGCTAAAGTAGAATGTAAATGGTAGAATGGCCTAGAGCACATGTTATTATATCAATACAGGATTAACTAAGGATTACCTTGAATTTTCAATTTCTTTGGGGGATGCCACCTTTTGCAGATATATTTTTGAATATGAAATTGTCTTTCATTTTCATGCTGGTAATATTCAAGATTAACTCTTCCACACTAAAACTTGCATTTACTGCAAGCTGCCTTCAGTTCTTAAGATTTAGGTTCCTACCAAGACTAATTATGGGAAAATGACTTTATATTTTCTATTTTAGCTGACTTTTCATTTGAAATATTTTAAAAATATTTTAAATTGGAAACTGGTGATTTCTTTAACTAGATTGCCTATAAATGCTGCTTTGAGTGTTTTACAAGTTTTGAAGGAATTAAAAAGAACTGTTTGAAAATGATCTCAGCCATAAGTATACATTCTCAAATATATATTTAATTTGGCTAAAATTCTCACCAACTGCATGACTACCACAGGGAATTATTTAAACAAGAGTAACTTACAGTTGTCTCATTGGAATCTATACCTGCACTCTGTGGACTGATTCTCATACTGGATAAAGATGGTGAAATGGCAAGTTTTCCTTCTATCTGCATCCCCCATCTCCCAAAGAAAGCTGATCTGGATAGCTATAACAGCATGAAAATAGATTCTAGATGCTTCAGATAAAGAACAAACGTGTGACCTTAATGGATTTATCATAACAGGCACTTCTATGTTAACTTGGGTTTTGTTTAAAAAAATTGCATGAAATATGGACTCAAACCCTCAGTCAAGACTAAAAGTACTTTTTAAAACCATAATTTCTTTAGATTGAAAAAGAATTGTTATTCCATCTTGAATCTATTGAAAGGAAACTGTCAGCACCAGGTTCCATTGCTTTCATAAACAATTGCATAGAAGAGGCTCTCTGGATCCCACTTAATGTTACCTGAGAAGTATACATTAAATTGAAATTGTTCACTAATCATTAACCAGAGCAGACGGTTAATACCAATATAGTCTTCTTTAAACACTAAATGCTTTAATTTTATCCAGTTTGTTAGCATGGATAAGCTTTTCACCATAGGGTGCCCACTTTTATTTAAGTTGGACCATATATTAAGTGAACTTATGTTATTCATCTAAATTGGTGTTTGTAGAAATAAGACTCCTTTGACAATCTATAGCTACCCAAGAACTGCTTGATACACAGGTGTCACCTAAAATGTTTGCTTCTACTGTACAGATTCCCATACTAATATTGGGATGATGGGGTATGCTTAGCATGAAACAAAGACTGTGGGGAGACATAATAACTGTGTTCAAATACTTGAACGGTATTTAAAGAAGTAAAGTAAAAGAAGTGAAGCAAAAGAAAGGGCAGAATTGTTGAGAGTTCTTCCAGAAGACAGGAAAAAATGGATTTATATTACAAAGTAGATTTTGATTGCATATCAAAAAGTGTTTCTGAATAAGAAAAATACTTGACTTTTATAGCTTTTCTGCTCTAATGTATGTCAAAATGAGCTTTAAAAATTAAGGCAATATGCATTTATGAAGAAAGGGTAGTTGTCCCCAGGATTTTCAGATCTATTCATACCAGCATAGTTTTGGTAATTATAAAATGATGTCGAGTCTTAATAAAGAAACACAGCTTATTTTTCCATTAAAATGATTTACTTTTAATATTTTAATAACTTGTCCATCTATGTATTGTGTATTAAAAACAAGCTTTACTACTAAAATAAATCCTTTCTAAGTCTTCCAAAAACATTATTAGAACTAACAAAATAAAGCACTGAGTTCATAGCAAAAGAAGCCATAATGAACTCTGAGGCCAGAGTATGGAGGGTTATGATCATAGTATTAGACAGCATTCCTAAATGTGTTTGTAGGTTCAATAAGATTTCTTTAAACAGTTACGAAAAAATCAAATAATTGTTCTTAGCATAGCTTTAATGTTGAAGATCGGACTTTCTCATTGTCTTAATCTGATCCAGTTTATTTTCTTGAATTCCACAATGTATTTTTAATATTGAGACAATACCAACTTCAATCAAAGGTATCTTAAATTTAAGAACAGGAAATTGTAATGACACACACTTTTCAACAGGTAAATATCGATATTTGCTTTGAAATAAATAATTAACTTATCAAGTAATTCATCTTCAAGGCATTCAAGTGAAGATAAACAAGAGCGGAAGGTAATCTCAAAAAAATACAACTAGCAGAGATAATCAGGCTGTCTCAGACTATTAGGCAGGAAAAACAACACAATGTTGTTTGTAAAACAAAGAAGAATGTAGGTGAAAAGCATGCATCATTTATTCTTGCCAATTTAAATCTCCAGTTTATGTATAATTATTTTTAAAATTTGAGAAATTAAATACTAATAATTTTCTGACAATTTAATTTATACTTAACTTTATACAAAATTACTATTTACTGAGCAACCTAATTTTTGATAATAGTTCTTTGTAGTGTTAAATAGCATTCTACTCAGATGAGTTCAGCCTCATGATGTCTCTTGCCTATTCTCTTTTCAGTTACTTTATTTGCCTATATAATATGGAAAAAAATATATTAACTATATTACTGTTGCTACTATAATTTTTCCCTGGGGGCCTATTACAAACTTATATGTAAGACTTATTGTACATTTATAACTAAAGAGCTGTAGGTACTTTCTAACATTT